ATCCCAATGTTCACAGCAGCACTATTTACAATAGTCAAGATATGGAAACAACCCAAGTTCCCATCAACAGACAAACAGATAAAGAAGATGTGGTATATATGCAATGGAATATTACTCAGCCATAAAAAAGAATAAAAATCTGCCATTTGCAGCAACATGGATGGACCTAGAGAATATTATGTTAGTGAAATAAAACACATAAAGGCAAAGATTGTAGGTTATCACTTATATGTGGAAGCTAAAAATAATACAAATGAATGTATATGCAAAACAGGTACAGACTCACAGATACAGGAAACAAACCAGTGGATACCAAAGGGGAGGGGGTAGAGGGAAGGGGCAAATTAGGGATATGGGATTAAGAGATACAAACTACTGTGTATAAAATACATAAGCAACAAAAATATATATTGTATAGAACAAGGAATTATGGCCATAATCTTGTAACAATGTTTAATGGAGTATAATCTGTAAAAATGCTGAATCATAATGCTGAACACCAGCAACTAACATAATATTATAAACCACCTATACTTCAATTTAAAAGAAAAAACTCCATCTGGAGCAAATCCTCAGTTGAAGCACTTGGTTCTGGGTTGGCTGGTCTCTGCTACCTTCTCCCAGTAGGATTGTTTGAAGTGTAGAAAGGGTCCTTGGTAAATAACATTAACCTAAGACTCTTACAAATTATGTCGAGGATAGAAAAGAAAAAAAAAAGTCTCCCACTTTCCTCCCACTGAAGGAATGAAATCATGCTGATGATAATATTCTTTACCTTTATAGATCTCTGTAGCTTTGCTGAGCATTTCCACACCTAGCTCTCATCGGCTCTTTGAACATGGCGACCTAACGAAAGTGGACAGGCACAGGGGTCAGGGAGAGCTGGATGTTGCTTGGCTCTGAACTGCCAATTAATCATGTGTTAAAGAACAGGTATAGCAGTGCTTTCAGCATCAGGACTGCTTACTCTGCGTGTAGTAGGTGCTCATGAAATCTGTGAAGTGATGCTGTGAAATGTGTAGGGGAGGGATTACAAACCCTGATTTACAAATGAAGGAAAATGAAGTTCATCAGAATGAGGACAAGATATGTCCATGGTCACAGAGGCTGGACAAGAATCTTCAAAATTCAAATCCATTGCTTTTTGTATCACTTTAATCTGCTGAATAAAAGAATTTTCTCAGGTTTTAATAATAATAACAGCACTGTTGGTAAAGGTACCTTTCATTTATTGAGCATTTAACATGTGCCAGACACTTGATTAAGCAATTTACGTGAATGAACCCATTTTACAGATGCACCACTATTCTGATGGATATATTCACTAATCTAGAAGTTCCCCAAACTCTGTACTCCAGGGATTTTTATGGAGGCTTCATCACATAGGTATAATTGATCATTAACTCCATTTTTAGCCCTTCTCCCTACTCAAGAGAATGAGAGGAGGGGTTGAAAATTCCAATCTTCTAATCACGTCTTGGTCTTTTTAACGACCAGCCCTCAACCAGGAGCCCATCCAGAGCAGAATAACACACTCCTATCACCCAGGAAACTACCTGCCTTTCTCATATTCACACTGGTTTCCCCAGGACCTGCATGGTGCCCGGCAAGCACAGGTGCAAAATAAACGTTGTTGAATGAACGAACTGGAGAGTTCAGGAAATCTGAGTGTTCAAAGAACAGAATGGAAAGAAAACGTATTTTTAAAAATTGGCTAATAACTGTCAGGCTTTGTGCCAGACAGACCACATTCATCATCTTGTTAATTCCTCAAAAACTTCCTGAGCCGTGGGTATCATTAGCCCCATTTTACAAGTAAGGAGATAAGGATTTGAGCTGTTACACATCCTGTCAATGGACTGGCAAACGCCAGCAGAGCCAAGATTCAAATCCAGTGTGGTTAGTTTCAGAGGCCGGGCACTGAGGGAAAGTGACTGACTGATACCTCCACAGCTTCCTTCATACCTGCACCTGTGTCTGAGATTTTCCACACAGATTTTGGCTGCATCACTGGAAACTGGAAAGATCATGATGACAGCCATAACAACAACCATGCCTACACTGATGAAAAACGCCTTAGAGTAAGCCACGTTCCCAGGCATCATCTTTTCTAATCCAGTAATTGGTCTAACAGTTGGTGAATGTCTAAGTAATTTCTGGTGTGTGGGGTTTTTTGCTTGTTTGTTTAAAAGAGCGTTCTTTTGTTTCTCAAACGCATTTGTGGTGGCTTGCTGTTTTTGCCATGAAGACGGGTTAGTCAAATTTGTCATATTCATTAAACTTTTATGATTTGTCTTATAAATCATAGAACAAATTTACTCATATTTTTCTGGTAATTAATTTTTTTACATTCATTTATTTACATTGAAGTGTAATTTGGTGCATTAATGATAAAGTAGGAATTCAGTTTTACTATGTTTCAAATGGCTTAGCTAATTATCTAACCCAGAGAAGAGCTTCCTTCCATCACCCCACTGGTATTCAGACAAAAAGCAACACTGGTGGCAGAGAGGTGCATTGGAAAGACTCTATTTATTCCAGAAGTCAGAAACCTGGGGAGAGTTCCAGGTCTGCCCTTAACTCACAGGATGGCCTTAGACAGGTCCCTTCCCCCTAGGTACCTTGCTCTAAGTTTACAGCTCTACCCCAGGGGTCGGGGATGGTGAGGTGGGGGGCAGAGAGCACACTAATCTCTGGCACTGATAATTCTCCTTCTAATTCTGAAGAACTCTTGAGATAAAGAGAAATGTACATTTAAAGAACACCAAGAAACTTTTTCACCTATCAGCCTGGCAGATATTAAAAAGATTGATAATCCTCATTGTTGGCAAAGATGTAGGGAAATAAACTCTCCTAAACTGGCTGCTGATGGGACTATAAACTGATTCTGCTTTTTGAAGGGTAATTTGGTCACGTCTATCGAATTTAAAATGCACATATTCTTGGACACAAGAATTGCACTTCGAGGAATTCTGAGATATGAAGAATGACAGAATGATGTTCACTGCAATGCTCCTCATAGAAGAAAACTGGAAACAACCCAAATGTTCATCAACCAAAAGTTGGATTAACAATGATATGATGTGGCTGTTAGGGGTTTGAATTCTTAGCTTCCCACTTCCTATGTGACATTGGGCAAGTGACTTAGCCTCTTTGTATCGGAGTTTTCTCATTGATAAAAAATGGAATGATAGCTAACAGGGTCTTTGCACAGGCTTGTTGTGAGGAGTAAATAATACTCATAAAATACCTGGCACACAGTAACCACCTCATAGTACCAGCTGTTATAACCACAATATATGTTCAGGTGGAAAACTGTGAAGTTTATTGACTCTCCTTTCCCTGGAATGTTGGGTGCTATTGTCGGGGGTTCCCTAATTCTATAGGGGCCTGAGACTTTCACTGTCTTTGACTAGGCTATTTCACAACCCTGTAAATGATAGGAAAATGATAAAAATGCAAATTATTCTTGCTCATAGACATGAAAATTGATTTTGTCCGGTAAATGTACAAATTAAGAGATAATTCCAAACACCACGGTATTGCACTAAAGATAATAACCAACTTTGCATCTATTAGCAAATTTATTTCTGCATTCCTGATGGCCTATATATAGATTAAATATCTTACATATATATAATACTATACTATATAATATATGGTATATATACTAAATAATAATACATATACTAATATATAATATATTTAATCTATCTATCAAAACCAGTTCAAAGGAGAATCTGATTAGCAGACATATATATATAGTTTTCATTAATTACTGAGTTAAAATCTTTGACAAGTATTTATTTTATATATACATCAGAGTCATGATTTATACCTTTAAAAAACTATAACAGTATTTCTAGTTTGATCTTATCTTCATTATAAATATATATGGATATATAAAATTCATATACACACACACACACACACACTTGTATTTTTTAGAGAAAGCCTAGAAGGATGAACACAAAAATGTTTGCGAAGGATGTCTCAGGCAGGGTTGGGTAGATAACATTTCAGCTGACTTTTACTTTCTTCTTTATACATTACTATATTGTCCAAACATTTTCATGCTGAACATCCATTTTATGGCAAGTTAAAAACAAACAAACAAACAACCACAACCTATTTTCCTTTTTAAAGGACAAAACTGAAAACTCTCCTGCAGGAACCAGTCATTTGGGATGGGAGGAGAGAGTGTTACACTTCCTCACTCTACAGGGCTTTGCGGTTGGGTATTTAGGTAAGGGGTCCCCGTGGGAAGGGAGGAGGCCAGCTTAATTCTCAGCAGACTTGTCCTTCCTGGCCTAGGGCACTCAGGCATAAAACAATCTGAAGTGGCCAAGTGGCTGCTCTGGGGGTGGTCAAAGCTGAAAGTTGGACCTCAGCTCTGTCTGACTCTTTGATCTTGAGCTGGACAATTAATTCAGCCTCAGGCCACAGCCCATGAAGAAAACTCACCCAATCCAATCCCTCCTTTCTACCCAAGGGAAAACCGAGGCCTGGAGCAGGGAGGGAACCCACAGCGGACATACAGCAAATTAGGGGCCACCCTAGCACTAGAACCCAGATATCCAGAGTCCTGGCCCAAAGCACTTTTACCTCCCCAATAATACTGGGGTGAGTGTGAAGGGCCTCAGGTGCCACGTCGGAAAGATTGGCTGGAGAAAAACAGGCATGTTTGAACGGAACACGTCAGGGCCAGAGTCAGATCTGTGTTGGGGAAGAATTTTCAGAGCAGAGAGGAGCCAAACCACCCACCATCTGGGGACTGGGCTGGGAAAAGGGTCTATTCTAGGACTTAAAAATCCACCAGGCCTTTAACACACTTCCATTGCCACTTAATTGCATTTGAGGGGTAAGTTAGCTGCTTTTTTTGGTGTTGGTTTAAAAAAAACAAAAACAAAAAACCAGTGTCAGGGGATTTTGTTATGCAAAGAGAGTTGGAAATTCCCCTGAAATGGAGAAGTGTAGGACACTAAAGCAGCAGAAAGGGAAGACTGTGCTCCTGGTGAGTCTGGAGTATTATGACATTAACTAGCTTTTCCTGGGGCTGGAGCTGGGCTGGGTTGAGGGGCCTCTTCTTGGGGTCCCTGCCAGGAATGGAGGAGAGAGGCGGCGCCTTCGGACTGAAGGGGCCAGGCTGGTCTTAAGTTCCTCTTTATTATGTGCTTTGTGCCCCAGCCTCAAGGCTGCAAATCTCACAATTTTTGCCATTTCAGTGAATGAACTACACTATGGTTAACTTAGTATTTTTCTGTAAATCTACCCACTTTTTAATAACTTCAATATATTTTTAAAGAGCATTTATAAAGCTGCCTCAATGGGGAAATCAACATTATTTTCATAAAAATAAATACAAGGAAAACAAAACAATGCCATTAATTTCCAGCTAGATACTGTTTCTCTGTTGGAAAGGGAGATTGGCACATGTTAGAGAACTTTTAAGAGGATATTAGAAGCAACCCGAGGCTTTCCTCGATTTAATCAGAAGGAACGAGGGCTAATTGAAAACAGAATAACTGTCTCACAATGTGGTTCAGTTACTGCCCTTGTGTGAAACAGCTTAAACGAACTATGGGTCCACCAGTGATGCCAGCCAAACTTTGGAGAATGCTTTGGACCCTACTCCCCCCACCCATTAGCTGAGTTACCTTGGGAAATGTCCTCAACCTCTCTGAACCTCACAGTCCTCACCTGCAAAAGGGATATGTTGACAGAACCTACTCCCTAGACTTCTCTGAGAGGTAATAATGGTGATAAAGGTGAGGATGATAATGATGCTACTAGGAAGGTTTTGGTAAAATTCTTTAAGCTGAACCTTTAGGTATTAGATGAGTTTTGGGGAACTGGGTGAAGAGTTTGGGTCTTTGCCTGAATTAAAAGGAACTGAGAGACCAGCAGGAGGCTGCATGGTCAACAGAAGTTAGCTTCCACCAGGGTGGATTTGTGGAAAAGGGAAGCCTTCCGCGGATTCTCAGAAATATCAAGGAAGTAAAACTAAATAAGGATATTGAATTTCCACGGTCACGCAGGATGGAGGCTCGGACAAGAATGGTTGAACATTAAAGTGAAAGGTAACCTCTAAATGACAGACCATTTGGGGACCTGAGCGCTATAATTATTGTTTTCCATTTTACACGCAAGGAAAATGAGACTATAATATCAGATGACTGCCAGGAAACTCCTAGCGGACCTACTCTCCCCGCCTTCATTCTTTCCAGTACTTCAACAAATGTTCTGAACATGCTTAACCACAGCTAGACTCTGGGTCTGGGCAGGGGTGGGGTGGATATATACACTGAAAAAAAAAAAGGTGAAGATTTGCAAAAACAGTATGGACAATATGATCTTATTTATGCGAATGAAAACCCAGCAAAGCTATATCTTTATGTACATGTATCCGTATTTATAAAAGCTTCGAAATGGAGCTGGTAGCAGTGCTCACAGTTTGGTGGAGTGGGTGGGGAAAGGAGAACTTTAGCATTAACTGTACTGTTTGAGGTAATAGTAATAAATGTCTATATCATTTGTTACTGACAATTTAAATAAATGACTGTTACAGGCTGACTTGTATCTGCCACAAATTCATATGCTGAAGTCCTAATCCTCAGTACCTCAGCAAGTGACTGTATTTGGGACTTAGGACTTAGACACATAGAGAGAAGACCACGTGAAAACATCCATCTACAAGCCAAGGAGAGAAACCAACCCTTGATCACAGACTTCTAGCCTTAAAATACATTTCTGTCTTTTAAGCTACCTAATCTGTTGTATTTGTTATGGCAAATATTAAAGAAAAAAATTCCACGGCACTTGTTAAAAACAGTAAAGCAAATTTTATTCAGGACCATATTGACAGGTATAGGGACTGCAATGGGATTTCACAATGGGGTAGAGAGATTGGGCTAAACTCTAAATACAGCATGGGCAAGTGGAAATTTATAGCCAGGGAGCAGGGTGGGGTCAGTGGATGGAAAATTACTGGGAGGAAACAGGGGTAAGAGGAATTCTGGCTAAATCAACCTAAAAAGATTTTTGCAGGAGACAAGCCAGGATAATCAGACATCCCTTGAGAGATGGTGGAGGATAAAGAACCTGATCAGATATCGAGGGTCGGAGGTTTGGTTGTTAAACTGGCTTAGCAGGGTTCTTGCTAAAACTAGATTTTGTAAGGAAGTGCAAAGATGTGCCTATGAGAAAGTTCAGAATGCTGACTACCATTTGGTCAAGCAAAGAATCTTTGTTCCAGCCCTGGTAAACTAATACAATGACCAAGGTAACAGTCCTGACTTCTGGGAGCTCCTAGCCTATTGGGAGAAGCAGTTAATAGTATAATAACCTTACTATGATGCCAGGAAAAATGGGAGAAGTCCTGCAAAATGCAGAAGCAAAACTATGGAACCTGGGGGTGGGAGACACTGTTATGCCTGGCAGGTTTCACAGAGAAATTGCCTTTGAGCTGGGCCTTGAATGATGAACAGCAGAGAAAGCGGGGTGGGTTGTTGTAGGTAGGGAGTCAGGAAGACAGGGACTGTCCCTGAAAGAAACACAGAAGCCGGCAGCCAGGGTCTGTTCTGGGTCAGATTAAGACAAGGGAGCTACACCTGAGCGTAGGCTTCACAAGGGGATGTCAGGCAGGAATAGCTGGAAGTGTTCCTTGAAGTATCCATTTTTCAGCTATTGCTGACAGCTGTTGGCCACCATGGAGGGAGTGACATCACCACATGTGCTTAGTAGAAAAACCACCCTGAAGTCCATGAGACCAGAGTTGAAAAGTAATGGCCCGAGGGCATATCAGGTCCACAGAAATGTTTTGTTTGACTCACCTAGGTATTTTTTAAAATTTAATTAACTGTTCTAACAGTTCATAATTTATAAATAATTAACTTAGATGCATAATTTATAAAATTAATAATTTATTGATACAATTTGAATTTAGATATGTTGTTTATAATATATAATATATTACTCTTATATAAACTAATAAAATAAAATCAATATATTATAATTATTTGATACATTTGATACATAAAATATAAATATTAAGTTGGAAGAGTTCACAGAATTTCAAGTCTCTTAACAAGCGTTGTGGGTTGAATGTTGAAGTCCTAACCCTTGGTGCCTGTGACTTCAATCTTATTTGGAAATAGGGTCTTTGCAGATGCAATTAAGATGTAAATTAAGATGAGATCTTACTGGAGTAAGTAGGCCCTTAATCGAATATGACTGGTACCCTTATAAGAAGAGGAGAGGGGACCCAGACGCGCAAAGAGAAGAATGCCATGTGGCTGATGAGGGAGGCAGGAATTGGAGTGATGCAGCTGGAAGCCAAGGAACAGCAAGGACTGACCACTTTCAGAAGCTGGAAGGGGTAAGGAAGGATATTACCCAACCTGAGAGGGTGCAGGGCCCTGCCAACACCTTGATTTCTGATTTCTAACTTCCAGAACTGTGGGAGAATACACTGCTGTTGTTTTAAATGGCAGCTTGTGGTACTTTGTTACAGCAGCCTTAGGAAACTAATACAAGGAACCTCTATGTCCTCTGGGCAACAACTGGCTGAAGCTGAGGAAAGGGCGCCCCCTGGAGGTGAGCCTCCAGCCAGGTGGCATCCCTCATTCCTCCCAAGGTGCAGACTCTGTAGCTATATTCCAGGGGAGAAAAGAGGTCTCAGCTTGTGCAGCAGCAATGGGTGTGTGGGTGTGTGTGTGTGTGTGTGTGTGTGAAAAGCTTTGTTCTTAGAAACAATCATTCTTTATTTCATGGAAGGGAATAAAGTAATAGTTATTATTATATACTGTGTTTTGTATCATTACCATGAGCCAGGTCCTATGTTGAAGGCTCTTTATGTTGTGCCATTTAATCCTCCCTACAACGCTATGCAAGATCCCCACTCTGTAGATGAGAACACTGAGGCTCAAAAAGGTTACATGACCTAGATCACAGATAAGAAGTAACATCTAGTAGGTGCCAGGCACTGAGCTGAGCACTTAATGTATGAGCTCACCAAATCCTCACAACACCTTATGAAGTAGGTACTCTTATCCCCAATTACCTCTCCCCTCTCCCAGTGACATAAGGAAACTCAGTACAAGAGGTCAGGCAACTCGGTCACATTATTCACCACTGAAGCTAGATGTTTTTGTCTGGATCCAAAGTCCTAGCTCTACAAAAGCATAAGCTCATTAGTTAAAAGGCTTATCTTTTCATTCATTTGTTCACTGATGAATGTGCTTATGTTTTATGCATTTTTGAAGGAGGCAGCTGGGTATAGCAGGGAGAACACTGGTTCAAGTGCTCAGAGACTTGGGCTCTGGTCTAGCCTGGGCCTCAGTGTCCCCATCTGTGAAATGCAGGGGCTCTACTGGCCAACATAAAGGTCTCTTCTTGCACCAAGAATCCCTTATTCAGGGATTCCCTGGCCGTGGGAAGAATTTACCATTTATTAACACTACGACAGCTCAGAATGCTAACGTATTTGCAAATGTCTCAGCAAATGACAGAGCCAGGATTTTAATCTAAGTCCACCTCCAAAAGCATCTCCGTGTCCTCCTAGATCAGGAAAAGAACTAAAAAAGAGACAGAGGTAGTTCTGCTGCTGAACCAACTCCGTGCGCTGCACACGTGGGACCAAAGGCCAGGAATTCTGACCGAGGAGCTGGCCTGGCGTGGGCCTGTGACACCCTCTTGTGGACCAGGTCCGAAATGCTCTGCTTTGCCAGCTTTTTCATTTTGATACTAGAATAGATGGAGGATTTGAGGGGAAGCAGAAGGTGGTTTTCCCAATAGTTTCTGAAAACGAATGACCCCAGCTATTGTCCTAAAACGGAGATTGCTTGAAGGCCTCGGTCACTTAGAGAAGCCCAGCTGCCCTGCATTCATTTATTGATGAAACAAGTTACTTTCTGTTTCTGTTTTTTAACATCTTGTTCATACTTGTACCAGGTATAAAGCAGTGGCTCCAAGAAAAATGGCACCTTTCCTTTTTAGTTCAGAGTTGGGGAGATCAGACGTTAAGCCTGTAAAACCCAGAAAAAATACACAGGCAGGAAAGAATTCTTCTTCCTGTCTCTTTAGTTTTCTCTCAGATATCTGGAGGGGAAAAGGATCTTTGGCAAGACCAAAGAAGAGAGAGAAAGACTTTAAAGTATAATTATTCATTAAAATATCTATCTGTTCTCAAAGGTTTCACTTGTTTAACAGATACTGTGCTCTGGGAATTCTAAAATACCTAAATCCTTCCTGTACTGAGGCTTCATGAAGAAGTAGATACTCCCTCCCCCAGAGAAGCCAGCAGCAGGGCCCAGAATCAACCTTGAAGGCTGCAGGGGCCTCTTCCCAGAAGGACCTGGCCCCCAGCAGGGAGAGCAGAGGGGTAGAAATGAGGGGCAGGGCTGGAAGTTTTGGTAGAGAGGGCTTTTACATAACATTTCTGACCTTCACAACAATCTAATAAACCAGGGGCCAGCATGCCTATTTTACAGATGAGGAAACAGGCCCAGAGAGATTAAAAACCTTGCCCAAGTCTCAGACCTCATAGGCTGTAGTGTTGGAATCTAAGTCTTGGAGAAACAATAGGTTAGGAATCCAAAGCCTGGTTTCTAGTCCCAACTGTGAACACACTTGCTGAGTTGGGCACATCAGTCAACAACTTGGATCTCTGTTTTCTCTTCTGCATAATGGGGGTTTGGTTAGAAAGGCATTTACTGACCTTTCCTTTTAAAGGATCGAGCAGAAAAACAGGAAGAGGGAGCTGCGGAGGGGCGCCTGTGGACAGGAGGAGACAGGAGCCCAAGTCCAAGCACAACCATTAGTCACGGATGAGTGGACCACTGATGTGGATCACTCTCAGTAAGAGCACACTGAACATCAGAGACCTCAGAGATCCCCTTGTCTAGCCAATTTTTAAAAAGCTTTATTATCTCTCTTGTTAGACTCATCCTAGTAAAGGAACCCCCTCATGGGAGGGCAGTAAATCTCAGTTTACGAATCACATTCACATCTGTGGTCTCATGAGTTCTTATCCCTTCTCTGTGAGGTTCACAGGAGAGGTACTGCTATCTCCATTTCACAGAGGACAAAACTGAGGCTCTGAGAAGGCCCAGGGTCAGCTGACAAACAGCTCTCAGTTGGCTGGCTGTCCCTCTGGAGCCTGAGTGTGTCTGGATGGGGAAGGAGTCCACTGTGATAGATCGGATTACTCTTTACCTATACTCATCTCCTTGGAGGAGAATTATGTGCCCCAACTCTGTCAACATGAGGCCACAAAACTTGCTCTGGCCAATGAAATGTGAGCAGAAGTGATTACTTTGGAACAGAAGCTTGAAGACCCAGTGTGTCATTTACCATGTCACTTTTCCTTCTGCCATGAAACCTGGCGATGTTCCAGAGATAGAGACAGAGACAGAGAGTGAGCTCTCTCAGCCTGGTCCTGGAGTAAAGATGATATGAAATAGGGGAGCAGGTGACTCATCATGGACATAGAGATGAGTAAGAAATAAATCTTTGTGGTTGTACACCACTGAGATTTGGGGGTCATTTGTTACACAGCAAAACTAACATACCTATAAAGACAACAGCCTCTCTTGGGAACAGGGAATAGTGATGTCAGACCATGGATAAGCTGGTCTATGGTTTTGTGTGTGTGTGTGTGTGTGTGTGTGTGTGTGTGTGTGTGTGTGTGTGTGTGTGTGTGTTTGGGGTGGCACAGTGGGTGAATTTGCCCTGGACCCTATAGTCAGACTTTCAAACCAACTACTACGCCTGCAGGAATTTGTTTCCCGTTCTTCACCTCTCCTCTCTCTCTTGCTCCAATTATTTTCATTATACTGCAGAAAAACTTCGGATCTCTGCTGAATTTCATGATAGCAGATAAAGGTTTTATCTTTCCCAATTTATAAGAAGAAACTGCTTCAGGAGCTATTGATTGGCTCTCAGAAATAATAAATGCAGCTGCTGTTTCCCGAGGGCTTGTTCACTACCAGGCACTCGGTAAGAGCTTTTCATGCTTTACCTCATTTTCTCTTCACAACTACCTGAGGAATTAGCTCCTACTATTTCCCCATGTTAGAGGCAAGGAAATGAAGAATTAGAGACCTTACGGAACTTATCCAAAGCCACACAGATACTGAAAAGCAGGGCTGGGGCTCAAATCCAATTATCATGTTGGGAATTTCCAACTTGTCCATTTGGGTCCTTCTTGTATTTGCAAACTCTGTTATAGTTGTCTCTTCTGCTATTTCTAAGCCTCAGTCTTTGCTTACTATGGATGGAAGAGTGGAATCCCTTTTCCCTAGTCCTGGTTTCAGTGAGGAAGCGTTTTTTGTTCTGAACAGGCTCCTGGTTCCTCACCCCACTTTATCCATTCCTGACAGGATGAGGGACTGGTCTGCTTGTAAACTTGAGAATACCTAGTTAAGCTCAACTTGGCACGTCCTACTTCCTACCAGGTGGGGGCTGTTCCTGGAGCTCCACCCCCTGCAGCAGGAGCCCTGCCCTCATCTCTGCAGCCCAGCTCTGGGATTCATACTAGCTACCAGTCTAAAAGGTGCTTCTCCAACCTGGCTTATACCAGTAATAAAGATGATCTTTTGGCCTCCCTCTGCTTCTCTTTGTTTTATTCTTCAACTTGTTCGGAGTCACAGCAGATAGGATGCTCTGTACTCAGAGTCTCCCTGAGGGAATTATGCTGGTGGGAATGTTTCAGGGTTTGCTGCTGGTTCCAGTCCTTGTCTTGATGGTTTCAGAGTGCAACCCCAGTTTCCCTAAGCCTTTGAGCTCTAATGCCTGCTCCCACCTAAGTGAAGAAGTGTGGTGTGGCAGAAATGGCTAGTTGTTTCTCAATACCATTCTTTCCTTCCTCTATTAATAATTCTCCCCAGAATAAAGACTACATTTCCCAGCCTCCCTTGCAGTTAGGTGTGGTCACAAGACTTATCAATGGGAGAAAAGCAGGAGGGATGAGCACAACTTCTGGATCAGACATTAAAGGGAAGGCACGTGCTATTCACTTCCTTTTTTTCCCCTTTGCTGGTGGAACAAGATATGATATTGCAGCTGGAGTAAGTATTTCGAACCAGGAGACAAAAGCTATGTATTTGGTTGACAGTGCAACAACCAAGGAAGTGCTTAAAAATTGCCACCTTCAAGCTACCATATCAGCCCTTGACTACCTGTCCAGACATCTATGTGAGAGAGGAATAAACTTCTAACTAGTGAAAGCCATGATCATTTTGGGGTCTCTTAGTTATAATATCTGAGCCTATGTACCCTAACTAAGCCATGTGGGGACCTAAGACATTGCTTCTCAGTTTGGGGGAGGGGTACAGGACTCTCTGGCAGGAGCCTAAATGTGCAACTGATTCACACATATGAGGGAATCAGGGAAAGAGAGAGGGATAAAAGGATTGGGCATTTGTTGAATGCTTAGAATATTCCAGATACTGTGACTGATACTTTCTGCCACACTATCTTAGCTGATCTAAACAACAATTCTATGGGGGTGGATCTATTATCCTATTACGTAGCTGAGGCTCAGAGAAGTTAAGTGCTAAGGTCATATAGCTGATAAAAAGTTATGCTAGAAATGGAGCTAGGGTTAGTGTGACTCTCAAAACCATATTCCTTCCTCCATGGCAAACCATTAATTCACTGTCTCCTTCCACCAAATATAATACAATACAACATAATAAAATCTTGTCCCTCCATGGGTCTCTTGTGTTTCTGCACATCCTGTGAGCAGAAGCACTGACCATCATTTGTCCCAGACTATCTTTACAAGGATGTTTGTAGAGCAAACAGCCTTCGAAGATAGAGTGTTTCCTTCCAGAGCAAAGGACAGAAATGCTTACTCCCCACTATAAAAGATTTGGTTTGTCTAAGCTCAGGGTTCCTGACATCTAGGAAGTGATGTAAATATGCTGATGCTCATGCTACATGAGGTGCTGTGAATAATAAAGTCCTTTGTCTCTGAACTGGAAGTCTGACATCCTCTCCTTATATCCTTGAAACTGCATTACACTAAGTTGTTGGCTTGCAACTAGGGTAGATCTTGGTTCTTAACAGCACCTGCCGTATTTGTGCCATGGAGTCACCATGTTTAATCCAGCTGTCACATCACACGTGCTCTTAACTTACATTATTTCAACTAAACGTGCAAGGTCAACAAAGCTGTAAGAAAATTTAAATACTCCTCTGCGTTCCCTTTTTCTAAATAAATGCATGCCTCGGAGGAAGCATGTGATGAAAGCACTGAATCTGCTATTTTCTTAGTGGATCTTAGTTTTCATGTGGCTTTCATGGCATGGTCATTTTGCCATACTGAGTGTGATTCTAATATTTGAAGATGCCTATTTTTTCATGACCATGGTTTCTAAATCTAAATCACCCAATTCTGGTGGTCAGCCAAAGAGAAGGCTATTAGATCCAGTGCTGGAGGAAAATTTGGAGACAACAAATCAGTCTCCAGTATGAAGCTCTCCTGAAAATTTTTCAAGTACACTTTTCACCTTATGTGATTTTTGTTGTTATGGATCAACTTTAGAATGTTACACCCTCATAGATGATAACTCCAGGGGATTATATTTTGGGAGTAGGGTCAGTACAAAGTTGGGGGGTACTATTTTCATGGTCACAAAATTTCTTTTACAATTGAATATAGCATGTACTTATCATTACATTTATACATCACTTTCTTTTTTAGTACCACAAATTTGAATCTAATCTCTTTCTATATCCAGACACTAAAGAGTCCCATGGACTTAATTTTCACTTCTTGGTCAGTCTGTTAAATTTTGAAGTACAGTATTAGCAATTGCCTTTTCTTTCTTTCTTTCATTCTTTCTTTCTTTCGGATAGGTAACCTTTTTTTATTGTAGTATAGTTGATTTACAATGTTGTGTTAGTCTCTGGTGTACAGCATGGTGATTCAGTTATATATATATACACATACATATATATATATTTTTTTTTCATTATAGGTTACTACAAGATATTGAATATAGTTCCCTGTGCTATACAGCAGGACTTTGTTATTTATCTATTTTATATATAGTAGTTAGTATCTTCATATCCCAAACTTCCAATTTATCCCTCCCCTACTTCCGTCACTTGTAACCATAAGTTTGTTTTCTATGTCAGTCAGTCTGTTTCTGTTTTATAAGTAAGTTCATTTGTGTCATTTTTTTTAGATTCCACATGTAAGTGATATCATATGGTATTTGTCATTCTCTTTCTGGCTTACTTCATTTAGTATGATAGTTCCTAGGTGCCATTTCTTTTTGATTAAATTAGTATTTTTCATTATTTGTTTTTACTCAATTGAATTATGTTTGTTGGAAGTTAATCAACTACATTTTACTATGTATTAATTTTTTAAATTAGGTAGCACATACACATGGTAATAAACTTCAGAGTACAAATTGTATTGGTTCTGCTGTATCTTCAATATTACCTCAGGAATTGGGACAGCAATATTTTAAAATCTGGTTCTTGATTGATGGCAGCTCCAAAACACTATATAACAATGGGACAAGCATAGAGAGAGATAGAGAAAAAAAAAATCTACAATCCAAGATAAGTCTATGAACCAAAATTCTAAAACATATGAGGAAAATTAACAAAATTAAGTCTATAAAACCAACAAGGAGATGAATTCACTTGGTTTAAATAAACACAGTAAGAGTTCTGAAAATGACTTTAAATGTTTAGGCTCTAGAAAATAATAAAAGAATAAAGTAACATCTATTTTTATAAAAGAAATTATAAAAATATAAACAGGTATACATGAATCAAGAACAGCTGGATATGAGAAAGAATCGGTACCTTGAGTGATGCCATGCGTCTCTTCGAGGAATGGGTGACCCTCAAACATTTGTTGTATCTTCCAGCCAACTGCCAGCTTGTGTTATTCAAGCTGCACCAGGAGGATGAACACTCCTCTGCTGTGCTCCAATCTAGGACAGTCTAGGGAAGTCAAGGTGTGTGTGGGCGTGGTGAGAGCAGTTTCAGTCCCCCTCCATCTACAGCCTTCCACCATGCCATCCAAAGTCCCCTTCCATGTAGTCTCTTGCTTTTGTTTTCCTTTGCTTAAGAAGCAATGGGCAGAGCAGATTAGTAAGTAACATATCAGGGGGTTGCCAGTCATCTCTTCCTGCAAGCACACTCAGTCTTCACAAGCAATTCTCTTGGAGCCCTTCTCCCTTGTCTAAGAGGGCCTACAACCTCCATAGAGGGAGAGGAAGGGATGGATCTCTTTTTAGACACTGCATTTGCTCTCAAGGTTGACTTTCCTCCCATCTCTCCATTCTTTCTTTCCACTGATTAGCGATGATGGTTTGTCTGTGGGGAGAGGGGTGGGAATGTGAAATAAATGGGGAGGAGTGGAGTAGGAATGGGCGGAAGGGTTGGAAGAATAATAATGGCTCTTCAAATTTAATGCTGGAATATAGATGGTTCCAAACACTGGCAGTTCTTTAAATGTAGATTGTGGGCTCCTTATGGACTTTTTGGTTCTGATTTGAATTTCAGCAGAAGTTTCAGGACAATAGGAAAAATCCCTCTCAATGTCCAGTTACATAAGAATATATGTCTATTTCCTTCTCCTTTTATGGTTTAATAAATGTTGGCATACTATCTACTTTTTCTGTGTTTTGTTTCTTTTCACTTGAAGTATTTCCCAGAGATTGTTTCATATCAGGTCATGTATATGTGCCTCATTCTTTTTTATTACTTCATACATTCCACAATACGGATGTACTAAAATTTACTACAACAGCTCTCTAGTAATAGCTAGTCTCTAATCTTTAGCTATAAATAATGCTGCAATGAATATTTTGTGTATACATCTCTTTTCATATAAACAGCTTTAAAAAAAGTTAACTAGAAGCGTTGACAGATGTTTGGCATCCAAAGGACATTCCTTCTTAATTATGCTGCAATTAGTGAGACAGTCTCTCCCTACTTTGAAAATTCTGTGAATTATTATAAGAATGGACAATTTCTAATGTCTGTAATTGCATGTGATAGGCGTTTTTGCATTCACAACAATGTTTCTCTTCAATGCTGCATCAAAATGTAATGTGTGACATAGACTTAAGCAATGGTTGGGATCTACATTTAAACTGCTACACGTGCAAATAAAGGATGAAGTACAAAGTAATGTTGAGGATGGGAGAAGTCAAACGTACTTAAGTTCAAATCCCAGTACTGCCAATTTTTATCTATATGACTTCAGACTTCTATCACACTCAGTTTTCCCATTCATAAAATGGGTGAATATGGTACTGACTTAATGGGGATATTGTGGGGATTAAATAAGGAAATATGCATGATTCTTAGGGCAGTTCCTGGAATATAGTAAGTGTTCAGTAAACATTAGCTATAACATAAAAGTTTCAATTCAGGTAACAATTGTATATAACCTTTCTAGCTAGACACAAGTTCACAGCTGGACAAGTAATGTCCATTGGTTCACAGATTTCTCCTTTATTTGGTACAGGCAAATTTCTTGATTTCAGAGATGTAAATTGTGACCATAAACAAACTATATTTATTGGGATTAAAGAACATAGGAATAGAAGCATAGGCCTATAGGGCTGGAAGGGATTTCAGTATTACCTTATATTATCATGTAATAACCATCCCATGCATGTAATTCTCACATGCCAAGCATTTTGCATGTATTATCTCATTTAATTTTCACAAGGACCCATGTGAGATAGGTACCCTTATTTTTATTTTGCAGGAGGGACTGATGATCTGAGAAATCAAGTGACATGCCTAATGGTATCTTTAGTAAGCTGTAGAGCAGAGATGCACACTCAGGGTTTTCTGAAAATAAGATATTTGTACATTCCCATGTGTTTTTCTATTGAAATCTCACTTGTCCATGGCAGAACCAGCTTATGAAACGTCTTTAATGCCAAAAGCAAGCTTGAACTTCATTTTGGTGGACTGAGGCAGGGCTGTCTTATGCTTTAGTACAGCACGCAGAGTGCCTAGGGCCCACAACACTTTCAGGCGCCTAAAAATGTTTCAAGTTCTTTTAAAATCAGAAGAGAAAAATAAACTTTCAGGTTGAAGAAAATGATTTGCTATATAACATCACTATATTTATATCTATATCAACGCAGTTGCAAAATATGCAATGTAAATAAGTATCATATATTACATAAATACATATATCTACAAGCACAAGGCAAAAGTACTCAGACGAAAGTCAGAATGCAGCTAAACTTTCTGGAAAAGTGATAATAGCAGACCAAGTTGGAAGAGGGGAGGTGGTGGCCAAATTGTGAAAAAAGTGGTCACAATTTCTCCCCTCCTTACAAAGGCACTCCTAAGGGAGGTTATGAGGGACAGAGGTGAAACATAGGGCAGAAGGTGCCACTTCCTAGCTGTATGATCTTGGGCAAGTGACTTGATCAATCTGAGCCTCAGTTTCGCCATCAGTAAGATGGGGATACGTACCTCCTGGGGTTGTTGAACCTAGCGTGCCTTGGACCTTGCCGCTAGGTACGAATCGCTCAATACATACATGTTGAATGAAAGCAGTAAATGTGTGCTTAGCACAGTGGCCGGTGTACGGTAAGAGTACAGTAAGAGGTAGCTGCTGGCATAAAAAACTAGTCAAAAGTCCCCTGAGCAACAACCCTAGTCCTGCAAGAGCCAGAAGTACCTCAGCAATCCCTACGCGAACTTGCGCAGAAACTTCCCCAGGAGGAGAGAATACGGGGTTACGCTTGCGCATAAGCACTTTCCTCCAGCCCTTCGGGCGCGAGAGGCAGTGGGGCGGGCTCGACGGCGGCGCGACGAATCTAGAGGGAAGGACTGCGGAAGGGGCGTGGCCAGCAGGCCGGGCCCAGCCATCCTCTTCCGGGCTCCTCCAGCTGCGCGCGCATCATCCTCCCCCCTTCTTTTGTGGTCCGGCCCATTGCGAGGGTGACAGGAAACCCTGTGCAGGGAGCGCCGCCATCTTGGACCTGCCCGAGGAAGATCTTGAGGGAGCTGCGGGAGCAGTCGCCTCGTCCACCGCCACTGTCGCCAGCCGCCTGCAGCTTCTCGGCCAGCCCGCTACCTGCCGGGGCCTCGGCCGACCGCCCCCGCCCCTCTCCCGCTGCATCCGCCTCTTCTTCCTCGTCCTGACGCCCCCCTCCCGCCCGGAAAGCTGCCCAGCCACCAGCAACCCCCCAGTAACCTAGGCCTTCCGCAGTGTCCGGCGGGCCGGTGCCTCCTGGTCCCGCTCTCTAAGGGCCGGGGGTGGAGACGATGGCGGAC